GGGGGGCAGGGCCCCCCAGCAAAGGCCACGGCGAGGGAGGGAAAGCCAAGCCCCTGCTCATGGCTGCACGAGACAGCAGAGGTGCTGGGGGCTCCTGACTGCCATGGGACTTCCCTGGCAGCGAGGCTCCACGATGGGAGTTTCCAGCCCTCGGCACCTTTTCTTCCCCGGCTGCCGTGGCTGGGAGCGAGGGTGGGCAGCGTGAGCTGGGGGACTCGAGCAGTACCTTCTCAGCCTGGTCCCTGGAGAAGGCAACGTTGAGCTGGGTGAGGACTCCCTCCTGGTGGAAGCGGGCCAGCTCCTCGCGGTACAGGGGGCGGCAGCCGTAGTAAAGCACCGTCTCGCCCACCTCTTTGCCTGCAGAGTCACGCAGCACCCGTCAGCGGGCACCCCGCAGCCCCCAACCCTGCCCTCCCACCTCCCCTTGTCCCACCAACGTGTCACTGCTTCCATTGTAAGGGAAGCTTGAGACTGGTTCCCAGAAGCACCCACATGCTCTAGAAATGAGCCCAAGTGACCTGACTGTGGGTATTTGAAGACACGGCGGCAGAGGTCAGAGAACAGGCTCAGGTGTATCTGTCCCCAAACATCCCCTGTGGCCAAGAGGAGGACAAAGCACCCTCTTAGCTGCTGCTCACCCTGCTCCACCACCCCTGCTTTTTGCTAGACCCTTCAGTGATGCGAGCAGCACAAGCTGCACCGTGGAGGCACCAGCTGGCCTCGCAGAGCTCCGTCCTGCAGGAGCTCCCGGCCCCAGGGGAGGTTCTGGGCGCTCACCTTGCTGCTTCAGCCAGGCGCGCTCCTGGATGAAGCCCACGAAGGGGGCTATGCCAGTTCCCGGGCCGATCATGATGACGGGCGTGCTGGGTTTGAAGGGCAGGCGGAACTGCGACTTCCTGACATACATGGGCACCAGGGAGTTGGTCCCGTTCTCGTTGGGCACCTTGTTCTTGAGCCAGTTGGTGGCCACCCCTTTGTTGACGCGTCCCGTCTTGGTCTCGTACTCCACCGTCACGGCACAGATGTGGATGGCGTTGGGGTGAACCTGCCGGGAAGGGATGTCAGCGCCGGGCAGAGAGGGAGCTCCAGCAATCCCACAGCTCCATCCTTTGTGCTCAGGGATGAGGAGAAGTTTAACCTAATGTTAAGTTTGGCACAGCTATTCCTTCCCTGGCAGATCAAACTTCCCAGCATGCCCCACATGGGGATTCGGTCTTGCACCTGACTCATCTCAGAACCACTGAGCTGCCCTCGGCATTGCCAACAACCTCAGGGCTTCAGGCACAAAGTAAAGAGTGAATTTTGACCAACCCCTAAAATGTCACCTTGCTCCCAAGCCCTGAAAGCAAGGTCTGTGGGAAAGGGGAGCAGGGCTGCAGGATGGGAAGTGGTATCAGGGTGCAGCTGGCTGCAGCGTGGGACCCTCTGCAGACCCCGTGGAAGTTGGGATAACCCCTCTTCTCACGCACAGAGAGATAACTAACGCTGTCCCCCTCACAGAAAGCGTCACCAGGGCAAGTTCCACATGTCCGCGGGGGGGAAGTGCCCCAGGACCGTGGCACTGGGGGGCTGCAGCGGTCCCTGGGCGGCCCCAGTCCCAGCTGGAAGCAGGGCTCACCTTGGAGGAGGAGGCGATGGAGTAGTAGCGGGCCTGCAGGCGGGGCAGGAGCTCGCACAGGTGGTCGATGGGGGGACGCAGCGAAGGCATGTCCTGCAGGATGGCCAGGATGTTCCTCCGGGCCTCGACCACCCAGCTGAGGTAGAGAGCCTGCAGGCAAGGAGGGCACACGTGTGACTACTGCCCTACACGGCTGGCAAACGCTCCCTCAGCTCTCCGCACGCGATGCCCAACAGTCCCGGATCCCTTCTGGGGATCCCCTGACACCCAGTTCAGCCCGGCGAAGGCATGTCCTGCAGGATGGCCAGGATGTTCCTCCGGGCCTCGACCACCCAGCTGAGGTAGAGAGCCTGCAGGCAAGGAGGGCACACGTGTGACTACTGCCCTACACGGCTGGCAAACGCTCCCTCAGCTCTCCGCACGCGATGCCCAACAGTCCCGGATCCCTTCTGGGGATCCCCTGACACCCAGTTCAGCCCGGCAGCTCTGCTGGGAAGGCCACCGCTCGCCCCTTGCCCGCCATTTTGCGGAGGCGCTCCTGCTCGCCGGCGTCCGTGGCGTACTGGGCCAGCTCGTAGAGGACATTGGTGCGGGGCGGGTTAGTGATGTCCAGGTAGTACGTCAGGGCTGTCCGGTAGGACGTGGGGCAGGGGAAGGGATGCTTCTTATTGGATTCCTCTGAAGGAGAGAAAAAAAATTAAAAATCACCAACCGCATGCTGTTAGGTTAGGGATTTTGTGCCAGCACCTATATGCGTGAGGCCAGCCAGCCCGCAACACCGCACAGGAGGCTGCAGGCTCCAGCAGGGCATTAAGGCCACTTGCTCTCTGGAAACCAGGAGCCAGCTCTGGGGCTTCTGGGCCAGCACCTCCAATGCCTCGGGTGAGGCTGCGCTGCTTCATGAGCAAGATGGGCAGCCGTTGCCGGCTCCCTCCTGCCAGAGGCCAGCTCTGCTGGGAACGCTGCCCAAGAACAGCTCTTTGTATCAGCACAAGTGCTCCCTCCTGGCAGTTCAGTCCCCAAGCCCGCGCCTCCTCCGAGGACTGAATAACAGCATCGCAGACACGACGGCCCCTGTCAAGCTCTGGGGCTGCTGCGGCAGAGGGATGCTCTGTCGGGCTGATGCTCTGTAATTAGGAGCGTGCTGTTACATAATTTGGCGTTAAGTGGGCACACCAAGTACATTTCACAACTGACCCACTTCTGCAGGCTCTCAGCAAGCAGGCTCTGTGCCACTGCTGCTAAAACGGCATGGCATTCAGAGCCGCCACAGGACATCTCTGTTTGCCTGGAGGTGCCCCATGCGACCTGAAGGTGATCTGGCTCCTGCTCTGGTGGGAAGGACAGAGGCTATAGCTGAAGAGCTGCTGGTCCTCAGGGGTGATCCATACTCACCATCCAAATTGTTCAGGGACATGATGGTGTCCAGATCTGTGCCCAGGATCTCACCGATCTGATTCACCAGAGAGGAGTCGTTGGCTGGGTACACCGCCACGTGATCCCCAGACTCGTACCTGGCACAAGAGCAGGAGGAGAACAGATGAGACACCAGCACTGGCTTCCCGGCCACCCCAAGCCCGGGCTGCTCAGCCAGAAGACAAGCAAGCTGGTGCAAGGCGCAGGAGGACAACACTGAGACCAGAGCTGCTACGCAGTGCCTGCACGACCCAGGACCATGGAACGCCGGCAGTCAGAGCAGAAAGGACCGTTGTGCAATCATGGTTTTAAGAACCATGGTTTTAAATAATGGTTCTTAAACCATGGTTTAAGGTCTTTTACAAGGGACCTCCAAGATAACAGGAGTTTTTCCAGGGACTTCGATGAGGCCAGACTTCTGGCAAGGACAGTCCAGCTCCCCGACAGGCAAGGAACAAAGCTGCTCAAAACCTCTGCAGTATTTTGTTATGTTAACCCACCTGGATTTGTGGCTTTCTCACAAGCACACACAGGAATTTAAGCCACAAAGAGGGCTTTTAAGAACAGGGCTTTATTCCCCCCTCTGCTAAGCCAGGCACAAGCCATCCCTAGCTCTCCCCTCTCCCATAGCTCCCCTGGCCCCTCATTTTTTGAATGACCCCTAGAGAATCCTTGCAGCTGGGACTGCTCAGGTAGGACTGGTACGTGCAGCCAGCTCTGGAGGGACCCAGAGCAGCTCCCTGGCGTGGCCAGACACAGCGCAAGAGCTGGGAGCAGGTCCTGCCATGGGGTACCTCATACACAGCACAGAATCCTAGAGAGGCAGTGCCAAGTGATGATGAGAACAAGGTCCCCTTCTGAAGGGCTGGATGAGGCTAGTGCCACATGCTCTTTGCTCTTGATGCAGAACTGCTCCTGCCAAAGTAGAGGACCAGTCTCCCATGGGAAACTACCTGATTTTGGAATTGGAGATATCCAGCTCCAGGTGCATAAGGTGTCGCTCTCCACCCTCGTTCAGCTTGCGGTTCTCCGTAACCTGGGCCAGGAAGGGGTTCTTGGCGTCAAACGGTCTGGAAGGAAAGACAAGGACCCTCTGGGTTACTCTCCTGCAGGCTAACAGTGCTGCTTGTATCCAGGCACATTCCCTCTGGCTCCAGAGCAGCCTCCCACAATCTGAGCACAGAGACATCCTGGTGCACGCTTTAAAGCACACCACAGCACAAAACAAATTATGATCCTGCTGCTACCCACGCTGGCACAGAAAACATAGCATTTGCCTTCTAAGCACAGCCCAGCAGCCAACAGCTTCTGTCCCATTAAGAAGAAGTGATGTAAGAGTAGATTGGAGGGAGTGTCCCACCTCAAAGAGATATTTCAGGTTGGAATTGATTCATACAGCTAATCTCCCCACAATAATACTGCAAGCAACCATCACTTGCTAGCTACCCTGGGCAAGGAAAGGCTCTGAGTGACCTCAAGACAGATGCTGCCAATGTCCCAGCCAAAGAGCACATGTGAGCATAGCCATCTTCTCGCCACTCATCATTCATTAACTGGGGAATCTCCAGGAGTCCCAGTGGAGATCTGAGCCCAGTTCTCTTGGGCAGAGACCTGTCACATGGCTGCACTGCAGAGTGACACTGCCCACACATCAAGGATCCATCAGCTGCAGCCTGGTCCATGGACAGCCTTGCCCAGGGTGGTCTGGCACTTACGGCTTCTGGTTCTCGTAGCTCTTGAGACGGCCCATCTCACCGGTGTAGACTTTGTTCATGTTCACATCTGTGTGCACCACCAGCTCATACTGGCGGATGCTGGAGGAGGAAGGGGGAGAGAAAAGAGAAAAAAGTCAAACTGGAAATCACAAGGTACAGTTGGAACCGTCATCTGCTTTGCTGGATTTGCTGGAGTTCAAAAACAAATGGAACTTCCACACCTCTGCCCCCTCTCAAGACATGAGGGATCAGGCAGACCATGCAGAAAGCCCAAACCAAGAGGAAACATCAGCTTCACTGAGAGCATCACAGCCCAGCAAAGCCATCCACAAAGGAAACAAACCCATCACATCCCCATTCTGAACAGAAATCCAGAGGTGGGTTCAAACTCGCACCAGGACAGGCTCAGCCCAAACAGCCCCGCTCACTGCTCTACTTCACACACACCCTCTCAAGTCTGGAAGGGGAGGCAGTGCACAGACAACGGGACAGTGGCTCAGGGCTGATGGCACAGCCACCAGTCAGAGGTGGCCAATCTCTCTAGCACCTGAAAGAACCTGCTCCCATACCCACCTGGACTCTTCTCCTGTAGCCTCCACCCCGAAGTGCTCGCACACTGCTGGCCAGAACTGCTCTCTCCAGGTGATGAAGTCTTCTTCCAGGCTAGCCAAGGCAAAAGACAGAGTCAATAACCCAGCCCCAGCTGGGAGCAAAGGAACAATCTGAGATCCCTACGGACTTCCTCCCTTCACCATGGGAAGAGGCTCTCAGTAGTCGAGCCAACTCCCTGCAAAGGTCCCTTCCACGATGCTTTAGCCAGCTCTGACCAGCACTTGAAGCCAAGTTACTCACTTGCCATCATCATCTCCTAGCCCAAGTTCAAAGATGCGTTGGGCTCCAAGCTCCTCCAGCCTCTTGTCCACATACTTTCCCATGGCGTTGAAGTGCTCGTAAGTCTTGTTCCCCAGCCCAAAGACCTGGAAGGGAACACTGATGAGCATGGAGAAGCAGGGGCTGGACTTTTCCCATCCAGTTGGCATCCTCACCCAGCAAAGGATGCTGAAGAAAGACAGCAAGACCTCTCACAGCTCCCCATCAGCTATTTGTGGACCTTGAGTAAGAATCTACCACCAGAGAGCATCTGGTCAGTAGGCACCTCCCTCGAGCCCGACATTGGGCACGTCAAGAGGACGCACGTACAAGAGCTGCCTGCGCCACCTCCTCAAGGGACCAGTAAGAGCCTGGACTACTTGGAGACCAGTTGCTGTCCCTTGCCTCCCACAAACCTCTCAGCAAATGTTTGTTCACTGCTTTATACAGAGCAGCTCAACATCTCCAGCACTGGATTTTCTCCTCATTTGCAATGATTTTGCTGCGTAAGGAATTTGGCTGGGGTTTAGGTGAGGTGGCTGTATCTCAGCCAATTCTCCAGCTCAGCACAGGAAAAGAGCTGCACATTCCTCCAAGTGATTTAATTTGTGGGAGAAGATCTGGCCCAGGGCCGCTCAATTAGCTTCTGAGCGGCAGCAGCTGCCTGTAACTCATTTACAGACCTTGTACTCAACGCCTGCTGGGCTGTCTGCAGCAAGACATTACCAGCAAACCCTTGTGATTTAGAGAGTGGAGAAAGTACTCTGACATCTGCATTTAAACCCCCAGATACATGTCTGCAAGGGTCCACAAAGCCTGGAGAGAAAGACAATAGAAAGCACCCAACGCAGGCGTACAAGGCATAGACATCATGTCACGTGTGGGCACAGTGGAGGGCTGTTGACTTTCCTGCTCAAATACAGCAGAAACTGGAAATGAGCCACTTACTGCAAATCGGAGACCCGACAAGTCAGCATCAGCCTCCTGCAGCCAGTCGTAGAAGTCTTGGGCGTTGTCCGTGGGATCACCCTCACCGTAGGTGGCCATGCAGAACACAGCTAAGGACTTGTCGATCTCAGAGAGGCGGCTCAGGTCCGACTACAACCAAAAGGAAAGAATAAACCCTCAAGGATCCCACAACATGGTTATTGAGCAAACCTATTCCTACAGTGCAGCTACCTCTGGTGTGCAGAACAGCACCACATAAAGTCAAACAGCTGATTACAAAAGGGGTCGGGAAAGGCCAAACCCATCCAAAATGGCAGGGGAAATAAAGCTAACCACCCTCACTGGGCTGCGAGCCAATACTGCTACCCCACCAGAAAAACGATGGGGTCTTCCATACGAGGGGTTTTTTTAGGGGAGACCCAAAGGATGTTAGTTATCCTGGGGCTGTTCATGGCTAAATTACCAAGTCATACTCCTCCGGATCTGCTGCCATGCCCCGGAGGCCATAGCGATGAGCGTCTTTGGAAAGGCGATTGGCAAACTCCTCTGCTGTGCCCGTCTGGGAACCGTAGAAAACCACTATGTTTCGCCCCTGGAGAGAAAAAGAAATCCCTGTCAAATGGTGATTACTCATTTGGCAAACACACGGAGGAATCTTGTTAGAGACAAAGGAAACGTCTGGGATCAAGAGCCCTGGACCACAGCCTAAAGGCAACCAGGAGCCTGCACCTGTATGGGACTCGACAGCGGATTTGCGGCAGAAAACTCAAGCCTAAGCTGTTAATAAGAACGTGACTCTCGTCAAGCTCAGAGCGGTGACTCAAGTCAGACTAAAACCCAAAGCAAAGATTTATTCTCAGCCTCCAGGCTGCAGCGTAACTCCTGGAAGCAGGGAAACTCCCTGGACGAGAAAGCAGACTTGCCTAAGCTTTGGGAAAGTGCTTAAGCATCAGACCTCCTGCTCTGCCAGAACTTAGAAGTAAAACAGAAAATACATCCAGCTCTTGCTTCTTCCTCTGCTTCCTCTTGCGTCCAGTCCAGCACAGGGTCAAAAGCTGCCAGTTCTGTGTATAATTCCTATTCCAGAGTCAGCTAGTAAACAACTGCCAGGCAGTGACTTTAAAATCTCTGCCATTCCCCTCCTGACTTTGATCTTGTTTTACACTTTTTTTGCACCAAATTTTCACTTCAATCTTTTCTCTAAGAAAAACTCTCAGGCACAGGCTGGGAGAGCTACTCCTGCATGCCACACAGCCTTCCTCTGGATGCTCTTTGCAGCAGACACGCGTCTGTATCCAAACCAGTCCCTGCTGCTGACAACCAGACAGTCTCCAGAAGAAACTGGGAAGGACATGAGCTCCCTCACCTTCCCGGCACCCCATGTATCCAGAGCAAGAAGCTTACCGTCTTCTTCATCTTCTCAATGAAGCTGCTATCTCTCGCCGAAGCTTGTCTGAAAGACACGAAGAACCTCCTTTCAGATGGGCACACTCATTCTTTAAGGTCAGGAATATGCACGTGGGGAAAAAGCAGCCCTCAAACCCTCCCAGATCTCAGGAAGGCTGCCCAAAGAGATGACAGCCCCCGTCAGCCACTCGTATTTACCCTCTGCCAGGGATGCCCATTGCTTAAGCTGCAGGGCTTCTCCGCTGAACACAGCCATGGACCAGGGACTCAGGGCACAGGGGAATAGATGTTTCACAGTTGAGCAGGTTGTAAGGATCTCAGAGTTACGACGCAAGAGTAAGTCTCCAGATAAAACTTAGATGCCACGGTGGGAGAGAAGGGAACGGAGAGCTCCCTGCTTCCCCCAGCACAGCAGAGGGGATCGGTCCTGAGCCATGCCCTGCAGAGCAGATTCCCCAAGCTGGAAGTCAGACAGGGCTAAAAACCAGCTGTTCCAACCTCAAACCAGCATGCCAGACACGAGCCCCACAGAGGGGACAGACGCTGACCAGACCCACAGACCCTCCAGCAAGGCGACCGCTGCCTGCCGAGGTCCCTCAGGGCTCGTTCCCACGTTGGGATGTCCATCCCCAGCGCAGATCTCTGGCACATTTGCATTATTGCATGGAGGCAGCTTCCTCCGGCTCGGCAGAGGGACAAACCACAGCGGCATCGGGAACGCGGAGGCAGAGGTTCACACCGCTACGGCTGCCCTACTGGGGAGGGAGCCAGAATAGCTTTGCTATCCTAAGCACACCCATGGGCTTTCAGTGTCACAGGGTGAAAGCAACCCAGGCTGGGGGACCCCGGGAGCCCCACAAGCAGAGGGGGCTCTAGCTACAGTCAGATTAGGTGCTGGGGTCTTTTCAAGGCAGGAGGACAAGTGCCAGGAGCTCACTTGCTATCGTCCCCACTGGAGCTTTGGTAGCAGGGAGGAGGAACGTGGGACCCGTTCCCATTTCTCCTTCACAATGGAAGAAAGCAAGGCTGGGTCTCCTGTGGGAAGAGAGAAGCCTCCAGGGAAAAAACCAATGGTTTTGGCTCCAGCCCATGTGAGAATGCACAGACCTCACTAACAGTTTCCGAAACTCTGCAGCCCAGAAGAAGGGATCTCTGCAGATGTGCCGAGAAATTTGCAGAGTGTGCACACACACGGAGCAGCAGGGTGGGGGACACTCAGCAAAGCATACCTTCAAGCACCCCCTTCTACCCAAAGGGATCAAGGAGCGGCCCCAAAACCCTGCCTGTGCTACCGCTGGGACAGGGGCTCAGGAGCGTTGCCCCCCAACCTGCTCAAGACTCGGATCTCTCAGCTTTTGGCTCCGTGGTGAACCTCTTTGGTTTACTGCCCTCTGCAAAAGAGATCCAATTAAAACAGCTGTTGGGTCAACTGCTAAACAAAATGCTTTTAAAGGAGGAAAAAAAAAAATGTTTTAGATCCCTTCAGTAAGCTCCCTTTGGAAGAGAAAAGGGTGCAGCACATGGAGCTCATCCGTTTTCAAAGGAGGCAACCCTGCACTGAAGTGTCGTGGTGGAAAACAGTCTGTGGCTCAGACACAGAAGAAATAATGAGTCTGGCTTCTGAAAAAAGGCTACACAACTCCCTGAAGTTCCTTTGTCAGGGTGGCTTGAAAATCTGAGCTGTAAGAACACACAGACGCCGAGGACAGAAATGACACTCATTTTCACCGCTCAGCCAGGAAAATTTAGATGAGAAAGCACGTTTTCAGCAACGATTGCTCTTGCAGCTTAGATAGCTCAGGGTAGCGACTAAGAGAAGAAGTGACGGGTGAAGGAAAGGGGATTAACTCCATTGTTGGAGTGAGTTTTTAGCTTGTACAAATTGCCCACTCTTGGCAAGAGCCCACAGTGCAAGCAACTCCCAGGACACACTGTCACTTTGATTCCAGGAGAAATAAAGGGGGGGGGGGAAGTTCCCAACAGCTCAGCAACAATATCACAGTCTCTGTCTAGCTGAACATTCCTCCTTCAGAAAGCTCTCATACCCATGTCTCTCCTCCCAAAAACACACGTACATCCAGAAGTCAGAACGCAGTTGCAGAGAAACTGAGCACCGACAGCAGGGTCTCCTCCAGAGCAGTCTGCCTCCGAGCAGAGCCTCTCCCCTTCCTCCTCCTGCCCGGGCAGGGACAGGCACCCCACTCCACCCAGCTTGGGGTGGCTGGAGCAACCCTCCGAGTCCGAGCGATCCCGCCTGCCCAGGGGACAGACCGACTCACCTCGCCACGGCCGGCTCCTCTCGTGGGGCCGAGGACACGCAGCCCATGTCGGGGCAGGGAGGAGGCAGACAAACAGCCGCGGGCCAGCCGTGTCCGTCTGCAAGGGGAGGTGTGGGGGGACGGATCTAACTCAGCTCTGGAGCAACGTGCACACAGGCCTTTCCATTCTGCTCCTCTTGGGTGTTAAAGCCAAGCCTCAGCCTTTTGTTAAGGAGAAGAGAGTCGGCACAAAAGGTCCCAGCAAGGGTCATAGCAGGAGCAGTCCTGTGTGCTCAGATCCTCGTGGCACAGCTTTGGAAGTTACCGAGTGGATCCGCACAGTCCTGAGAAACTGCAACATCTGGCAGCAGTGGCAGAAAGGAATTAGGAGTGGAGAATGAAACCTCCCAGGATCCTCCGCAGCGCACGTCCCTCTCCCATCCGCACGGAGCAGGGGGACGGGACACAAAACCCCCTCCCAGCCCTGTTACCTTGGAAACTGTTTATATCACAGCTGCTTTTATACATATTCTTTTTAACAAAAAAAAAAAAAAAAAAGAAAAAAAAAAAAGAAAAAAAGAAGTTGACGCTGTAGCTGAATGAAATTATTCCAGACACTGCGTGAGCAACGCTACGGGTAACTATGGCAGTGCCATTACGGAGGCAGCTCAAAGGAGTCTGCTCTCTTCAGGATCCTATTAAATTAAATTAGAGATGGTCTCTCTCTCTAACACACGCAGGCAGCAAAGAGAGCTAATCAGGCTAAGGAGCCGGAGCAATTCCTGCCACAGGAAGCCCTACAAGCACCAGGGAATGGATTTCCCTATAGCTGCAGAATAGAGATAAGCCCGTTTCTGCCCCAAACAATGTTAAAGAAGGGGGAGAAGGGAAGGGTGGCACCCAGCACACCAATCGCTGTCTTGCCTGTCTCTCCCCAGGGCGACAATCTGCACAACTCCAGAGTGGGCACGTGAGAACGAAATCTGCTATTGAGAAACACGCAGAGGAGGTGCAACTGAAGAATAAAAATAAATCGGTGCATTCCCCAGTGATGCCTCTGCGAGGAAGCACGGTGGCCACGGCTGCGTGGCGATCAAGAGCCGTTCTCCCTAATGACATCTGCAGAGCAGGCTGCGGGGACGGCTGCTCCGGTGGTTTCAATTAAGTCTGAAAATGGTCAAAATGCACAAAATCCTCAGACAGTGGTCTCCTGGCCTGCCCCGTGCATGTGTGTGTTACACAACACAGGTACAGGACAGCTTGTACGTGGGAAACTTCAGCATATGCCGGACCCTGCCCCTTCTCTGGGGGCTTCAGGCAGGAAAAAAACTCCACTTGGCTGCAAGAGTGAGGGATCAGCAAGCGCCTGAGCTGTGGCTGAACCCAGAGATGCATCACCGCGGCAAAATCACAACCATTCGCGGGCCACACAGGCTGGCAGAGCCACGCAGAGTGAACCCAGCCCAGGGGCCATCCGGAACAGGGTGTTTTGACCATGCATCTGTTCTTCACAATCAAGAACAGCCCTGGCATTGCCTTTGCAGACCCTGCTGAGCTGGTGTGGCTTGGTCAAGGCGTGCTGCTCAGCAGGAGCTCCCAAAAACCCCAGGAGGGTACCAAGGTGCTGGACGCTGTGATCAGGTTGTAGGCTCTTCTTGTGCTCTCACACATTGCAAGCAAACCCACCAAAGCAGCAACCATTGTGACGCATATGAATTGCTGTTCAGCACTTCTGTCCTCCCATCTTCCGAGGCTGAAGTTGGGGGACAAAGTGACACAACAGAAACCATCACCCGATGCCATCCGATAAAGCAGTTCAGGACAGTCTGGCAAGTCAAGGCAGAGCTGCAGAGAACATTCTGAAGAAAAGCAACCCTTCTTAAGGTCAAGGCTCTCCACTGCAGCTGGAGACAGCCCCGCTGAGAGCTCTCTGCTTTCACGGGTCTGGGACAGCTTCCCCGCCGGCAGATGGGCCTGCCTCTGCTTGCCCACAGGCCAGCTCGCTATATCCAGCCAGCCCCAGGCAGCGGCTGACAGGGTGATCCTGTATCTTGTCCATTTGCTTGCTCATCAGAAAGGAAACTCCAGCCCAGACTCGAGGATGACAGAAGGGAAGGAAACTTGAGGCTGAACAAGCTTGTTTTCCCCACTCATTTCCCTCCTCGTTCCAAGCATCCCATGAAATCATCACACTGCAAAAGCTGCAGGAAGTCACGCTCTCTGTCCCGGAGGATGGATGTGCCACCATCCCCACAGCCCTCAGACCAGCCTGGTACAACGACCACAGCTGGGCTGCAGCAGGCAGGGGCAGGCTTAACGTCCAGGGAAAAACTACTTCAAAGCCTCCTCTCGCTCTTCACCTGCCTGGCTGACACTTTTCCAAAATGCAATTGTGGCAGACAAGGTCCAGAGCAACCTCACCTCTCCCCCCAGGTTATCAGTGACAGAAGGTGCTGCTCTTCCAGAGCTCTTGCAAGGAGCGGTGGCACAGTGCTCCCCACCAGCCATCTCCCACGCAGACAGAGAAGGCAGGATGGAGCCCACGGGGGAAATGCAGGCAAAATGTCTGTGAGTCAGCTCAAAGCCCAAACCCCCAGTCAGTCCGAGATAGAAGGCCATGTGCCGAGGTCCTGCAGCAGGACAAGGTGGTGACAGCACCCAGGGCGTCAGAAAGCTTCTCCGCAGTGTGACTTCTCTCCAAGGTCACGACAGCCTCCAGACGAGCTGCACGTGATGGGTGGAAACGGTCACAAGGACGGTGAGCACGGGAGCTCTCCAAGTCGATGTGTGCCACGTCAGGATCTAGTTTCACACTGACAGTGCCATTTCTCCAGCCAGCTGAGCTCTCATCGCAGCGCAGCCATTCTCGTTACAATCTCCAGAGGCAACCGCACGCACTGACACACACACAGAGCCCTCTCCCGCAGGCACGAGAGGGAAGGTGTCCAACCCATCCAAAAAAACCAACTCCCAAGGTAATGCCAAGGAGGCACAGCCAGCCAAGCTGCTGCCAGCCTCACGAGCGCTGCTCTGCACAAGGTACCGCAGCCAGGGACATTTCTTCCTTTTAAAACCCTCCCAACCCCAAAAATGTACTTTCCATCCTCATGCAACACGAGTGCGTGCAGCCTGCCTGAGAGTTTGCTCTGAGCTGTGAGCTACTCCTCCTGTTACCCGGGGACCTCCCAACAGAGCTGGCATCCCCGGCTTGCCTCCAAGCAGAGGGCTCTGCCTCCAGAGGAGGGGGACGTGATCTGACCAAAGCCGCAGCAATGAGACCAAACCTGGCCCTTTGCAGTTATGATCTGAATTACAACACAAACAATGAGCCCTGGAAACAAAGTGGAATAACCCACTAAGGTAGACACACAGGTCTGGGATAACAGACCCACAGCCACTTGCTGACCTCTCCCTCTCCAAATCCCGTCTCACGCTGCTGCGATAACCTACCATCAAAGCCAAGCAAGTTCCAAAAGAGCGGCCAAGCAGCTCATGCCCAGCAAGAATCTCCCAGCTCCCAAAGACTCTATCTTCTCTTCACAGCTAAGGGGAGATAAGATTTCCGATAGGAAACCTGCTTAAGAGAAAGTCCACCTTTCTCCAGATTTATCTAAATATGACTTTTATCAGAAAACACAGAGAACAGCCAAAGCAATCCTTAAGAGCTTTGAAGTACAGCCAGAGGCTTTCCTGCCTTTCCTTCTCTTGCCTTGCCTGGAAAAGGCAAATTCCTGATTTGAGCCACACGGTGGGGTAAGGCACAACTGCAGCCTGGCTCTTCCACGGGGATTTCTGTACTGCGAGGGGAACACACAGCGCAGAAGAAACATGAGGGGAGAGAAATGCACTGAGACCAAGGCTCTTCACCTGAGGACCTCCTGTAATCCACCCGAGCCTCCTGCACAGCCTCCAAGGACCCACCATAAGCAAGACAGAAAGCTACACTCACCCCGTGCTGCTTGAGAGTTGCTACTTACACTATTGTCATTTTGGGGAGGTCAGGGACTTCCTCCTTCTTCTTGTAGAAGAACCACCAGTAGGTAAAAAGCCCAGTCACAAGCGAGAAGATAAACACGTCCACCATGCTGTAGAGTGAGTCTTGCTGCACAGCGTTGTCGGGAGGGGAGATGTTCGGTTCCATGCCAGCATCCCCCATGATGGTCACAGGCACTGTAACCACGGAAAAACAAATGAACATCAGCAGTCACATAAGACTAGAAGAGCATTAAGGGCTGTTCAGAGTATGCTTTTTCATTATACATTTAGTCCTAAGAACACAAGGCAGCTCAACAGCAGCTTTGGAGAGAGGCTTTGCACCACAGTACCACGAGATCCTTTTGCGTCCCATGGTATCTCACTGTCCCACCAAGCTTTTCCCTTCCCGTTGCATCCATGCCGATCCATCAGAAGTGATTTCTGCTCTCGCTCTGCCAGCACCATCGGAGCAGCCCCATATTGCAGTCAGGGAACCCAGCCTGACTCCTAACACCCAGCAAAACTCACCAGGGACTCGCAGCCAGCCTTTACTAACGCCCTTACTCACCACGGAGCCCATGGGGCATTAGGGGGCAGAAGACCCCCCTCCTCCAGTCACCCCACAGATCTGAGCCTTCCTCCCTCCTTTCCACGAGGTGATACGCTGTCCTGGACCTACTGCTGCGCTTACAAACCGCAGAGCGGCACTGGGGTGCGAGCATCCCCACATCAGGTTGTTGCAACACAAATAATGAATACTTCTGATTTACTATCCACCTCCACGTGCAGACTGGATTTACTATCCACCTCTTTTTGGGCCTCTGGCTTCCTAGTCCCTCCACTATCTTCCCCAGTTTAACTTCCATCTCGTTGAATTACTCCTTTTGGCTTGCCAAGGCAGAGTTAAGTGACTTGTGACTTGCCCATGGCCACACCCAGAGCCTGCAGCAGCACAACGATAAGCACCCAGCCCTCGAGTCCCCAACTAGCCCTATGGCCCCTGTCCTTCCCCAGGCAGCCTCCCATCCCTCCTGCTGCTCTGCCAAAGCTCTGAACTAACCTTGCGATCTGAACGAGGGTCAGAGTATCTTCCCAACACACAAGGACACACTCCATCCAAGCAAACAGATAATTAACTCAACACTTAGTTTGAAAGGGCAAAGTGACTCTCCTGTACTTGGGCATTCTGACAATCCAGGAGACCATGGACATTTGAACTTACACGCAGAAAAGTGACCCAGAGCTGTGGGGGTGCCACTGGAAAGGACACAACCCATGGCTGAGCAGTGAAGGGAGAGCTAACCTGTTCAGCAAACCTGTGCCTGCCAGAGAAAAGCTCCCAGCCAGCTTTCCTCGGGGGGCTGAAAGTGAAGCAGCAAACTTCAAGCTGTGCCTGAGCTGAGAAAGAAAAGGCAAGATGATGCTTAGGGAGCACTAATGAGGGAGACTGGGTAAGGTCTTCAGCAGGGAAGAACCCCTTGTTGCCCCTACAAAGAAAAAGTCCAGCTCTGGAGAACACGAAGTACTCCGCCACAGGTCACCAGCTCCACCAGACAGCTCTGCGGAGGGCAGGGAGAAGTCCGCAGCTGCCTGGCAGTGATCATGGGTGGGCTCCTGGACACTTCTGTAACCCAATGAGTTCTCAACCCCAAGAGAAATTTAATTTGGTGGGGAACTTGGCACTGAAACACCACCGCAAAGCTTCCTGTTAGGTTCCCAGAGATGACACCAAGCAGGGAGTTGCAAGAAAAATGTGAGTGATGTGACTGCAGCCAAGCAAACTGCCCATTGCTCTCCGTCAGGCAGGTCACCCCGTCCTCCCTCCTTGCAGACAGGCTCCCCATTGCTGGATCTCCGAGCCAAGCAAGAGCTGGGTGTTATTTCTGCACAACTGTAGACTAAACTGTTGGTTAAAGCCTCCACAACTGGAGCTTAGCTGCCAACAAGGCACAGCTCCCAGCAGGGTCACTCTCCTCCTCCTTTCTTGGTTCCAGTAAATCACTGCGAAGCTGCAACCGCCTGTCTTTCACCTGCTTTCCTTGACAAGCCGTTTCCCCTGGTAATAAGGCTTTGCTCAGAGGAAGCCATCAAATCAACCAAGGCTGACGGAGACTCTGCTAAGCTGGTTCTGGGCAGGAGCTGCACCCCTTCCCTTCCGAGCACCAAACCCAGCACTCGCAGCAGCCGATCCCCAGGAAAGCCTCCTTGCACAGAGCACAGCAGCACTCCTTGTAACACACTGCACGTGGAGGAGAGTTTCAAACCAGACACATCTTCAGTGAGCAGCCAGCCCAGGGTGGAACGCACACGGGCTGCACGTGTCTGACCCCACAGCAACTCCCCTCCCAGCTCCATGCTGCTCAGACAGGGCTATTTGCCAGCCACGCATGCACAGGGTTAGGGAAGGAGTTTGTAGGCTCATCAGCAAGGTGAGGGCTACATCTCCAGCAGCACTTCATTGCCATGCCCAAAGCAGCAGAGCTCCCGGTCTCCCAGAGCAGAAAGGACAAGCCCCAACCGCAGGGAATTTTGCTTTTTCAAGCCCCTGGAGGTCGTCTGCTCTCCCAAGCGGCGATGCTTTGGAAGCAAGCATCCTCAGGAAGGGAGCACCCAGGAATGCAGCATGGACAGACATGGGGGAGGAAGCTGGACTATCTCCCGGCCCTCTCCAGCATTTCAAAGGGGAACCCTCCAGCTGCAGCAGCACCCAGACCACCCGCTCGCTCCCCACACCCACAGCTGGAGGGAAGAGCACAATTTCTGGAGGCTTACGGGTCTGGTCCATGGACCAGAGTCTTGGTTTGGTCTCCTCTCTTCATTCACAAGTCTCCATAGCTCCAAAGGTTATCTACTGACCTCTAACCCTGGATGGAAACACGGTCATTCACTAGTGATGGAACCAAAGCGATGAGAACTGCTTTAATTCTGATGATGGGCTCCATCTGGTCCCGGACATTTAGCTATTCCTAGTCCTATATCCCAACTACAGGTTTTTCTTTTGGCTCTCCCTTCACCATCCCCACCCTCAGGAAAAGGTTTGCTTAGATATAGCAAGAGAAAGGCAAAGGATGTGGAATTGGACCTCATGCTTCTTTTTCAAAGGGTTGTCATAACTCAGAACTATTTAAACTCACTTAAACTAGCACAGGAAGATTATTCTTCAGTTTATCTCAGTCTTACCTAGTTGGCTGGAACAATTACTTTCCAGAAGTTCACAGCAATTTATTTTTAAATATATGTCCTTTTCTAACTTCCAGTGAAAAGAAAACTGACTCCTACTTGGAAATTAGCCAACCTGGAAATCCCACAGTCTCTGAAAGGACCCGAATAGAATCAGACTTTTTTTTTTTTTTAAGGGAAAAAAGAATTAATGATGTAGAAGTAAAAGTTCCCCTGACACCAGTTTCAGAGGTAGTTGTTTATCTCCAATCTTTATTATACCTTCAATCAAGATAAGATTTCAGTTTCTTTTTTTTTTTTTTAAACCATGGCTCCAGCTTCTAGATCCTTGTTTACTCACACAGTATCTGGTGTAAAGTAATCAGTCTCTGCCGAGATATGAGACATGTCCATCACACAGAAAAGTCACAACATTTCGAAAGACTGCAATCAAGCAATGTTGTATTTTAGCACAGCTTTCCAGCCTCTGACTGGAGCTTCTAAACCTGGGTTTTCGCTTGATACACGGCGGCTCACAAGCATTCATATCACTGGGGAACCTCTCTGCACATCTCCATGCTGCCAGACAGAGGCACTTGCTTCTCGTATTAAAATATTTCTACTTCTCAGGCACATCTCAAGCAAAGGACTGGAAGTACTGACAGTGACAGGCATCCACTAATTCCCTGCCATTTCCATGTGGACTAAAGGTGCTATCACATCAGTGTTAAAAATATTAAAATATAAATAAAAATAGTATTACAACAAAACAAGATGGGATGGGGAGTGCCCTAAAAGCCAACTGGTCAGCAAGCTGAAGAGGTCTGTTCCTCCTCTCTCGCACACAGCCGATGGCAGCATTAGGGGACGGTGTGGCAGATGCCCCCAGAAGCACACTGGAGCCCTTGACTCAACTGGCAGCACAGCATCACGGTCATGGAACGTGGCTGGGAGGTCATGTTTCTGCCAAACACAAGGATCTTTCTGCAAGTCACATTGCAGTGTCTTCTAGCGACCAAAAGCCTTGTCTCTGAAGCTAAGCTGGTGATTTGAGCAACAAGTTGTCTCTCTGAGTGGAAGTATCCTTTATTTATATAATGCTTGCGATGAGTTTCTAGTATTTCAGGATCATTTAGCTTCCCAGTCCCAGATCAGAACTGCAGCCTGCGACTCCTGCTCCAAAACTGAGTGACCGAGCCCTGTGCCATCACAAGCACACCACAACCCATGGCATCAGCCCTGCTCACGTGAGAGGGAAAGGAGAAGGAAGGCTGCTGACCAAGCACAACCTTGGGCTCCTCACTGTTCCCACCTCCCTGATCCCCAGGCTCCAGCGGATCACAGCCTGGAGCACCAAGAAGCCCCCGAGTTCAGCTCAACACTGCAGAGGGGCTCCCCATGACCCCCGAATGGCAAAAAATCTGCGATGACCAAGTCAAAGGAGGAATCAAGTGACATTAACGCACACAATGCCTTTAGTCACCATCGGCCTGACACTCGCACCGGAGGAGCTCAGCAGGGCGCAGGCAGCCAAGCCTCCCCCAGCCCGCAGCAAGGTCCAGGCTGGCTCAGCGAGCCGCTAGCAGGGACATCGGTTAGCTGGTTAAGTCAAACCATGCCTGCAGGAACGAGCTCAGTGTGCCTCACGGCAACGCCATCGCACCACCAGCACGAGCCCTGGGGTGCCCAGTTGCTCCACGCTAGCTGTCCCATGCCCATCCAGCGAGGACACTTACCGAAGGACTGCTTTCTGGTTTCTTGTAAACAGGAATCCATGCAAGTCACCACCGCGGCTAACAGCAGCACACACTGAAAAACCCACCAGCTGTTTCAGACCAGCCTTCTCCAGTTCAGACTCCCAGTAAAAGCCCCAGGGAAGGGGCCAAAGGGGCAGTGCTGGCAGAGCCGCCTTGGCGGAGCGCTCCTCCTGCTCTCCGCAGCCACATGACAATGACCCTCGTGTCCCTGACTCAGCACATGTGTTGCATCAGTGAACAGAGCGGAAACACAGCCGGCACGATT